CACACACACACACACACACACACACACACACACACACACACACACACACACACACCGGCACATGGCGTAACTGAGTGACGATAATTGAAATTTCATCACAGCAGTTTGTGGTTTTGTATCTCACACATCAAAGCCCATTTCCACCCCAAACACCCCATCCTCTTTCGCACACTCACACATACCAACACACATTGCTAATGCGCAATTCATGGGTGATGCAGTTTTGCGTTGCCTGCTTTTAGGCTGTTCGAGAAATCGTATCGAAATGAAATCGATTCGATTGGAACGAAATCGTTTCGAAATGAGGTTTTTGGTTTAAAACACTTTATTTCTTGGGTTTCTCTTTAGCCTTTCTTTGTGTGGGTTTGTAACATTTAACTTAGGTAATTTTTTGCATTTGCTTTTGGATTTCTCTTGCTTTTTTATATTTAAAATACAGTTAAATACGTGTTTAGAAATACAATAAATACTAATCAATAATTTAAGTACATACAGACATATCTGATCAATAAATTATCCATAATATATAATAGTCATTATATATATCATATATATTATTTAATAAAAACTACTATGCTCATCTTTCTTCAACCTTCCTCCCCTCGCCGCTTTGGCTGGCTCCTTAGTACTACTTACAGCTTTGACTTTTTAAATAAATCTGAGCCGTATTTAAGAGTTTGCATTAATATAGTTTTGGATATTTTAAAGTGGATTAATTGCAATCTGGTGCAAACATTTCAATTATTTTCTATTTACTTCTTAGGCCTTGCTATTTGTTAAGTGCTCACATAATTTAATTTTAGTTAATAAAGTTCGGAGAGGGTTTTCAGCGTGATTTTAAACATTTTCGATTCTCGCGTAATTGTCACAAACATTAGAGTTAATTCAAACTGGTTTGTCGCGCACTTAATAGGTTTCCTTTAATATTATTAATATATTTTTGTTTGTTTTTAATTTACTGCAAAAAGTATTAGGCTCAAATTACATATCTATCTCGTTTAGTTGGAGTATATTAAGTGTGTAATTAAAGACTATTTGGATAATGCTGACAGTGTCTCCTTTCGCTTTCGCTTTCGCTTTGACTTCCGCTCCTCTTCTCTTGCCTTCTAATTTTGTTTTTGGTTAAGGTTTACGTTAGTTAGTTAAATATCTATATGTATGTGTAGATTATAATTATATCGTCGTATTCGAGCCCGATCGGTAATTTGACTAGCACAAGTATTTCTTCTTGGGTTTCATCATGCGAATGCGTCATTTGGAGCCCAGTCCGTTGGGCACCAGCGTACTGGCTGTGCCAGCGACGACTGCAGGTCCGCCCCCAGCGACGCCAACGGACCCAGTGCCGCCAGACGTGCCTCCGGCAACTGCCGACTCCCGCACGCCGGCAGCAGCCGCCTGCAGATGCACCGCTGCCGCTGCGGCCGCCGCTGCTGCAGCTGTGGGCGTGGGAGGGGAGCGGGCAGCCATGGCGCTGCGCATGCCGCCGGCGCTGGCGTTACCGCTGGCCGAGTGCAAATGCTTGGCGCCTAGCTCGCTAGCCCGAGTATTGCCGCACACCTGTAAGCCGATCCGAAGAGCACAGGGATTAGCTATAAGTTCTGCAAGTTATAAGTTCCTTAAGCTGCTGGCAACTCACCTGGTGATGGCTGTCCCAGTCCCTGTACTGGCATGAGGCGCTGCAGTAGCGGGCCATGTTGCAGCCGGAGCACGTCTCCGTGGCTTTGCGGCCGCAGTTCCAGCATTGTTGCTGCAGGTTACTGCCCTGTAATGCATGGGTAAAGGAATAATATTTTGTTATGTTCATGAAAGAATATTTAATCACAGGCTCAGAGTGTAGAAATCACTTACGTTCTGCGCGCTGGTTATGGATGGCGACTTATTGTCCAGATCGCGGTCTCCGCTGGAGTGACGGCTCATTTCCATGAAGAATTTTTCCATGCGCAGTCGTTCTTGAGTCATGATCTCGGCAGCACGCGTCTCAGCTGCGACCACGGCTCGCTGTATCTCGATGACCGCCTGCCGCTTGACCTGTCAGGGTGGGAGGAAAGCACAGTAAACACGAAGCTCTGTCTGGGGACTCTGTGGGGGACTCACCTGGGTGACTGCATCCTCGGCGTTGCGCTTGAACTCGGCCACCTTCTCTTCGGTCTGGCGACGCAGTTCGGCCATGGCGGCGGGCGTCAGGTCCTGGCTGCTGTTGCTGCCGTGCTGTGGCTCGATGCCGCGCTGCTGGAGGATGGTGATGGCCCGCTTGGTTTTTTCGACCATGGCCGAGATGCAATTGAGCATGGTGTGGATGTTCTTCCACTCCTCCTCACCGCCAGGAGCAGGGGCAGGGACGGGAGCAGATGCTGCTGGCGCATTGCCCCCGCGCGCCACCTGAGGCAGCGCATGTCTGCTAGCGCACTGCCCCGACTCGGCCAGGCGCAGCTCCCGCTCGTCGCGCTGCATGAAGCCCGCGGCAGCAGCCGCCTCGCCGGCGGCAGTCGCAGCGCTGTAGTCGAAGGCGAGCACCGAGTGGGCGGCAGCCGGATGCATGGCCAGCCGCTTGGTGGGAGGCGCGTAGGCTGCGCCGGGGTTGGGCATGTACTCAGCCCACTCCTGTAGGCCATTGTGCGCGCTGTGCTCCATGACGGAGTCCGAGGAGCGGCGCTTGAACAGCGCCCCGCCATTGCCGTTGGCCGCCACCGGGGCCGGCGCCTCCAGCTGTACGAATATGTCCGCGAACTCGGCGCTGCCCACTCCGTGAGGCGTTAGCTCCATCACAGCCTGCTCGTTGCTGGTCACGTACTGCATGGCCGACTGGTTGGTGGCACGCGCCAGGGCCAAGATCTCGCGCTGCATCAGGGCCACGCTGTTCTTCAGCAGCGGCATCACATACGGCCGCAGCGGCAGGTTGATGGCCTCCTGCAGGGCCAGCCGGAACTCCTCCAGTGATATGTTGCTGCTAGCCAGGGACAGCACTAGGGCGCGCACCCGCTCACTTACCTCCGGCTGGCCGAGCTCCTGCGAGAACTGCAGCAGGGCACCCAGGAACTTCCGCAGCTTGGACAGCAGCCGCGCCTGCTCCACGTGCGCAGCGGCTGCAGCCGCGGCGGCCGCAGCCGCGGCTAAAGAAGCTGCGTGCTGTGATCCTGGCGTCGGCGACGTGGCAGAGCTGGTGCCGCCGTTTACCACGGGAGAGGCGCTCGCGTTGCGCTGCGGTCGCTGGTGGTTATGCAGTTGTTGAGTCGGTGAGTGGGGAGAGCGCGGAGCCGCTGCCAGGTTGCGCGCCAGCGCAGGAGGCGACTCCGGTGGCGTGCGACAGAGCCGATCCCTTTCACGTTCACGATCCCGTTCCCGTTCCCTGTCACGGTCCCACTCCTTGGGCGTGAGCTGCTGACTGCTGACTGTGTTGCTGCCGGTGATGGACATGTCCTTGCTGCTGCTACTGCTGCTGCCGCCGGCCGAGGAGGAGTTGGTAATTGTGGTGGTAGAGCTCTTGTCGCCGTTGCTGTTGCTGCTGCTGCTGTTGCTGCTGCTGTTGCTGCTGTTGGCTGTTCATCGGATTAAAAGGGAAAAGGAAGCAGTCCGCTCGTTAGTTAGATCACAATAAACAATGAAGAGAAACAAGACACGTACACACAGAGGAGCACGCAGGATGTGCAGGCGAAGTGGATTACAAATGCATTAGGAGCTGTTGTAGACGCTGTTGCAGTTCGGAAGCTCTGAAGCTCCGCTTCTCGCCTACTCGGAAGCTAGGCAGAGGCGAGCAGCATCAGCCCTGCCACAAAATATGTATATATTTCTGTTCACCGCAAACATGCTGCATGCACTTGTCTGTCCCATCGCCAAGGGACGTCGCACTGGCGTTAACAATTTAGTTCTAACATGGGAAATAAATTAGCAAACATTTTTGGTTGCCATTTGCCAGACAAACAGGCCCCAGCCCAGCCCAGTTCAGCTCAGTAGTGCAGGCCATCAAGTCAAGCAACACGCACTAATTGGCGGCCCAAGCAAGAGAGAAGATGACTTGCACTGCGAGGGGAAAGGAGCCGTGTTGGCCGTGCTTGGACCTGATCCTGGTGCAAAAGCGCCACATTCGGCAGCCGTTCAAAATTGAAAAGCTTAACGGCAAAGCCACAGCACAGTGTGGCTCGGGATTGATGCCGGAAATGAAAGTAGGGGAGCTGGGCTTGGGACACAAAGTTTAAAGGTTGCAGGCGACAAATAAAAACGAATCCGTTTTGGCTCAGCAGCAAAGAAACTGGACTTTACATTCCACCCTTTGTAGATAAAATAAGTACAAGATTTCATCTGTCGAATTTTTTTTTCAAAAGTAAGTTTGCCACTATAAATTAGATCTCTTGAGCATTCGTCTGGGTTAGTCAATGCCCAGACTTAAGATTGTAAGCACAGTCTCCTTTATATTGCCTTTTCATTCATCGAGCTGTGAAGCCAAGATCAGATGACCTATCTAGATTGCCTACTATGGCGATTATATATTCGGCGATTACACATGATCATCATTTATGATGATTTGATAATTGCCTGCATAGTTGCAATAGACCAAGAGATATATCAGAAATTGTTCTAAATAGAGATATGGCAAAAATATTTATTTTATTTTTTATTATGTAAAGTTTTGTTAAATGCGTTCGCAATCTCTATATCTATCCCTCTCTATCTATGTCCATCTAACTCTCAATATATTGCTAATGCGATACATCTCATTGTAAATTTTCAAACTACAATTCATTTCGCAAATGTATTGTCGCCTGCTTCGCACTGGAGACCAAACACACACCAACTTTGTTTGTACAATTTAATGGAATTTGTTTATGTGTGTGTGTGTGCGTGTGTGTGTGAGTGGGTGGCTAGCGGGAGTAGAAATGTTGCCACTGCTGCTGCTGTTGACGATGACGACGCTCATGGCAGCCAGTCGATGCTGTTGATGCTGCTGCTGCTATGCCTGCTGCTGTAGTTTGCTTTTGTGATAATGATTGTGGATACAGCTGCAACTGGCTGTGTGTTCACAGCCATTCAGGCACGCCGATCGAAGGGACACAAACACACAGACACGCACGCACATACACATATAAAGATAGAGAGGGAGGGAGCAGGAGGCGAAGGGTTCTGGGAGGCATCACTCAGCTAAGTTGGCGGCGGCTTATCAAACGCCAAACATAGACAATGATGGATCACATGATGCCGCCGCTGGCCCTGTAATTGGCTGCTATGCAAATAGCAAACAAAGTGTGTGGAATATAATCAAACAAATACCAGGAACCCAGTGTCGGTCTGACTCTCGCTATGGCGCTGTCTATGTGACTGTCTCCTTGAGTCCGAGTATCCTACAGCTATCTAACGGCGTTCTGCTGGGGTACAATTGTAAAATATTGCAGTTGGCTGAGGCTTAAAAGTTAGCTAGAGCCACAAACCGCAAGTGACCCAAAGTTGTGCCCCAAGGGGCCAACGGATGGAGGCATGGCTGACTGGGCGGTTAGCTGACCAGCTGTGACTGGGCACGAAAAATGTTTCGGCCACGAAAAACTATTTACGAAAATTTGGTGTTGACAATTCACATATTTTCTAAAACATAATGTTGGCAATTTTCCGTTTGTGTGTGTGTTAGTTGGTATGTGTGTTGTGTTTCGTTGGGGCATCGCAATGCGGCATTGTGGGAGCCTCGACGGCTGGTGCAACATCAGCATCATGACTGAGTTTCAAGAGCAGCAGTAGCCATCGATTTAAGGTTACGTATACGCAGCGTGGGCAAATGGTAGTCAATGCATGTGTGTATGTGTATGTGGGTGTGTGTGTATGCTGGTATGTATGAGTGTATGGGCGACAGAATTTGCACAGCTGCGTCCCATAGATTGCAGTCGAGCGCACAAAATGAAATGTGGGCAAGTTTAGCTAGTGTTGTTGCTGTTGTTGTTGCTGTTGCCGTTGCTGTTGCTGGCATAGTCATTTGGGAAAACAATCATTTTGGCAAATATTCATCATGCGCAGTTTGAGATTATCATCATCAGCAGGCGGCAGCAGGCCATAATGAAGTTGCTGCTCCTGCCGCTGCTACTGCTGATGTTGCTGTTGCTGTTGTGGGCGGCTCTGCAACACAGCAAACATTTGTTAAACAAAACTTTTTTTTGAAGAGCTTCAGTTTTGAATGCTAATTAGAGAGCTGGGTTTCATACAATTTAAGCGCCTTATATGCAGAGCATACACACGCTTTACTGGCCTGGGACTTAACGCAGCTAGTGACACGGGTACGCACAGCCACAGCAACTAGAACGTCGACGGCGACAGCAACAATAGCACCACCAATCAAAGGAGCCATATGAAGCCTGTTGTAGCTCTTCCCGCTATTCTTGCTCTTCGTGCAGTTGCTGCTGGGAACGCCAGCAGCCGTTGATATTTCTTGCAGTAATGTCCAACCAGCAAGGAAATAAATGTGAAATAGTAAATTTCTGCTGGCTATCCAGCATCCCACACAAACAAGACAATTTTTGAAGGCAGCAATTTTGGGGTCAAAAATATCTGCGAATAGCTTATCTACATATATGTATGCTGATTGATTAAATGAATTCTTTTATATTTCCAAATTTCGGCTTTCTAGTCCTTCAACTATTATGATTTTTGGTTTATCGGAAAATGCATTTTTCGATTTGCCACGCCCCTAGTGGGCGAATATGTTTTCCAAATTTCAAGTCCCTAGCTACAATAGCGCCGAAAAATTGCGTTTATACGGACAGACCGACGGACGGACAACACAGATATTGTACAAAACCCATGTACTCATTTCACTTTCGTAAATGAATATTTTTATACCCTGAACACATTAGAAATGGGAAATCAGGGTATAATGGTTTTCTGTAAAAGAATGCAACGGACAGAAGGAATCATCGCAGATCCCATAAAATATATATATTCTTGATCAGGACGACGAGCTGAATCGAGCCCTGCCCGTCTGTCCGTTTGTTCGCCTGTGCGTTCGTCTGTCCGTTTTTCTGCATGAGTGCGTCGATCACAGAAGATACAAAAGCTAGAGAGCTGAAATTTGGCATGCATACTCGTGTATACCATACGCAGTACGAGTTTGTTTTATTTTTTCGATAAATCATCCGATAACTTTTTTATCGAGAATAATCGAAAATTCGATTTTGTTTTCTTAGCCCCATTAGAACACTTTATAACTGCAGACTTCAAATTCAACATATGATGAATACAAACATTTTGCAATTTATAGATTTTGGATACCACGCCCCCTTTTCCCGCATTTCAAGTACTAGAGATTTGTGCTTTGGAATCTACATACATACATTATGATTACGTTCTGAAAGTTTCATATAGATTGTACATCTAGAAATTAAATTATTCAATAAATAAGTTTTCCTAATAACTTACTTGCTTACTTACTACCCAATCGTAGAGTTCTATTGATTGCGGAAATATTCATTTCAGAATTTATGCATGCTAATTGCATCTATCGTACAGTAAAAATGAACTAAGCAATATTTATAATTTCTATTATTGTTCAATATTCTTTGTAGTCTGGCTAAAAATTTTTCTCAACTCTATATCTATATCTGTCGCTGGCAAGAAATGTTGATTTGATACCGCTAATTATTTAGCCTAGTCTTAACATAAACAGCCAAACACCCTTAGTCAGCACACACCATTCACACTCACACTCTCGCTCACACAGCTGCTGCGATTCACACCATCAATCGTTGGGGCTGTCGCTTGGCTGCACTTGCGCTACCAATCCCCACACTGTGGAGTCCAAATTAAACGCCTTAACGTCTGCCATCGCCACACACACTCACACAACCATATGTATTTCCTCCTTCTTTACCCGACCATCCCCTTTTCAGCCCACCCACTGCTCGTACGTGTGTTGTCCGCATGCCACTCACCTTTAAACCGTCGACTAATTGCAGCCGCAGTCGCTGCTGTGTTGACTGCCGCTGCTGCAGCTGCTGATGAGGACGCTGAGGATGACGCGGATGAGGCAGCTGTTGATGTTGCCACTGAGACCGCTGCCGCAGCTGCTGCCGCCGCCGCTGCTGCGGCCGCATCGTAGGCGTCCTTGTCGGTAATCTCCTCCTTAATTATCGCTTTGCCGTCGAGCGCCATCTGGAAATAGTCGCAAATTAGTTAAGAAACTTAAACACTCTGACGTTGTCGTTGCCTCGAACACCGCCAACAACATCAACTACAATAACAATAAAATGCCTTACAGTTTGTAATTATAAAGAAGCGAAACCTGTTCAGGTTCCCATGAGTCTACGAAAACATCAAGTGACAAAGTTCTCACATTATGATTTCAAATTATTTGATTTCAATTCGATTAAATTGTTCTCTGACATGCAAATTGGGCTCACCAAACCCAAGGTCCTGGCTGGCCATGTCCGTTGTCGGAGCACTGTCAACATGTGTGTGTGTGCGTGTGTTGGCCCTGGGAGCGAGCCTCATTAGGGACAGCTGCAGCTGAGGTATTTCCAGCGCATATCAAGTTATTTGGCAAGCCCCAATTAGCAATTTGCAACCAGCTATTGGAATTGGTAATGTTCGGGGCGGGAATTATTTCAGATTGCTAAACTATATACATTCTAATGCCGAAACATCATTTGAGCGAGCAAAGTGCAAAATGTGGCTATTCCTTCTGGAGATATATTGAAAGTATAAATATACATATGCATGTATAATATAATATACTTTATTGTAATCTATAGTATTGTACTCTAATATTTCTAAGGCGGTACTTGTGGAATTATTTGTTATATTCATAATAAACTAAAAAAAAAAAACAAGTAAGAAGACTCGACTGTTTGCTGTTGGCAAGTCTGATAGCACAGGTATACACCCGGAACACACCGCCCATTTAAGTAAGCACAACTCAGACAGACTGCCCAACCACCCAACCGCCCCCGCGCGCATCCCAGTGTGAAGCGCTGCCCATGTGGAGCAGCATATTAGCCAGGAACCCCTTTTTTGGCACGCACTTGCTCATTTCCATGTCCGGTGGCCCGTGGATCCACCCATGTCGGCTGAGCATGAAAAAATGTGTTGATTTTTATCACAAAAACATGTAAATACCTGAGCTGTGGGAGTTTGTGCAGCTTGTCGGCTACATAAACACAAGTGTGAGACGGGGAAAAAACACAGAAAAAACAACATTTTAGAATCGGAAAATATCTGCTCATTTTCATTCATGTTTTCGATCAATCTATGAGCGACCGCAAGCGCCTGCCCCAGTCCCTGCCCCCCTACTGAGCGACGATTCAGTCAGAGGTGTTAAAACACACTTTCCTTCTTCTTCTTGTTTTTGGGCAATGTGTAAAGTCAATCGTCGCACTTGGAAATATTGATCTTATCTGGGGCTATTACAGATCTCTCAGAGTGAGAGAGACACAAAGAGAGTGCGAGAGAAAGAGAGAGAAAAGAGTACAAGCTGGCGAGCAGCTGTTTTGCATCAAGCAAATTATTAAAAATGCTGCAAATGAAATTCTATTAAATACAAACACTTGACACGCTGCTGCCCCTTGCCAAAGTGCCGAGAAAAGAGAATCACCTGGGGCGGGAATTGAGGACTAATGACGGATCCAACCGACATATGGCGTCTATAACACTTGTCAACTGTTTGGCTAGGTGGCTTGCTGGTCAGTGGGCAGGGCGGGGCAGGGCGGCATGAGGCGAGGCCAAACTAACCAAACGAAACATGCGTGACAGACGGCAACAACAAGTGTTTCCAGTGTGCGTCAGGTGAGTGGGCGTTGCGAGGGGGCGGCTGCTTATGAAGTGGGCTGACTCACTTAATAGCTTGGCTGGCTCACTGGCTGGCTAACTGGCAGCAGCTGTTGGCGAGGCATAGGACCCGGCTATGACGAATGAATCAAATGTCAGCAGCAGCCATGTCGTCGTCGTCTCTCAAGCAGCTGTCGCCTGTCGGCGCCATCAGGCGGCCAAAGATTCAACTTGTGTTGTTGCCCGCACCCCTCTGCACACGTATATATATGTATACAGACACACACACCCACACACAGACATACAGCATGCCCCACTACACCTACGCTCGGGTCTCAGCCACTTCAAAGCGCCTGGCTTGAGCTTCAGTTTGAGCAAAATGGAAAATGTCGCCCGCAGAACTTTTGTCACAAAACTTGAACAGAGCGGGGCATGGGGCATGAGGAAGGATGCTGGGGGTGTTCCATGGGGCTAGCGCAGGCAGGCAGCTGTTGGCGATGGCAAACGTCTGCTGGTGAAATTGCTAAAAGAAAAAGTAATTATTTAAACGGCTACGAGGCGAAGTCGTTTCCGGCCAACTGGACGTGTGAGGGGCGTGGCAACTATTGGGCAAGCAGCTCGCCAAAGCAATGAAAAATGTAAAGCAACAGCCGACGAGGAGAAGAACAACTCGCATATAATTTTCAATTAGGCGCAACAAAAATCATAACAAGTTCAACGACATTTTTTTAATTCATATAAAAAAGGCCAGCTTGGCCATGTGGCTGGACAGCACACCAACATATACTTTTATCCCTTTTGCTAAGAACAACAACAACAGCAGCAGCAGCAGGAGCAGGAGCAGCAACAGCAGTGAAAAGGCCCACAAACTGTAATAATAACAGCGACAGCAACAACAACAACAACAATACGTTGAACAGCTCTGAAGGGTTGTTAGCGCTGGATGGGGGAGGAGGATGGGATCTAGGACTGGGACTGGGACTCGTTGGCAGGAAATCACAGCACAGCTGTATGGGCTTTAGCTGTGAGCTGGCAGTCTACGTACAGCCGCTGCGTGTGTGTGCCAATGACAGCCACGTAGACGAGTCCAGTTCCCTCTCTATCTCTCTCTCGCACACACACACACACACACACACACACCCACACACACACCGGCCTTGTATGTGGCTCTGCGGACAGCGTCATTATGCACAAGTGGCGCTCGCCGCTAACGCCGCCTGAATGAGATTACTGGCGACGACACCTGTGCAGCAGCAGCAGTAGCAGCAGGAGTAACAAGAACAACAACAACAGCATCAAACACATTTAAACAAAGGACGTGCACACACTATGTGTGTGTGTCTGTGCTAGTGGGTTTCACAGTAAAAAGTATTTTTGCAACGTGCAGCTCGTCAGCTGCCTCATTACACATGGAGCTACAAATGTGAATGAAATGTGTCGACAGAGAAATCGAAAATACATTTCAGGAGAATTGAAGAGTATTTGGGAAGAATGTTAATGTCTCGAGCTTCAGCTTCCATCAAGAGTCATTGAGCTTATCGAGATATGTCTCAGATATGATGTAAAGTTCCTCTAATCAATTAATTGACAAATTACTAATGAACTACTTAAAAATGTGTAATTGTAGAAAGATGATATATGTATGTACGAGATAGTCTATTGACAATTGATTGAGTGATTGATGTCTCAAATTGTCTATTGACTATTAAATTAAAGGAAAAGTACACATAAAGATACTAATTCGTTGCTCTTTAAAAACTAAAACCTGCAAAATAAAACCAAAAATAAATGGGAAATTATAACCGATTATAAGTATACTGTGTGTGTGTGTGTGCAAGTGACAGGCTGCAACGAGCCGCAGCATCGGTATTATTTTAAATTGAGCATCAGACAAACAGACAGCCAGCAACAAGCATCAGCAGCAACAATCCTGCACTAGTCACCGCAAGCTTCTGTCCCTGCTACTTCGCCTCCCTCTGGCATTTTCTGTGTGTGTGTCGGGCATAATAAGATAATGGCGTGTCAGAGCGACCAGCATCAGCCACAAAAAATACGGCAGCAGCAGCAACAGCAGCAGAAGGAAAAACAGTTGAGCGAGTGTCGCTCTTAATCGGCTTTATGCTCTGTTTTATTTCCGATATGAACTGTTTTATGTCCCGCTTGGCCATTAACTAGCCAGTCAGAGAATCGGGGAGTCGGTGAATGTGTTGCAGCTGCAGCTAGAACATTTGGCAGCCGTGGCGTGCGATTCTTTCCACATGTTGCCAGCAATTCAATTATGCAGTTGCAGCTGTTGCTCATGCTGTTTGTTGTTAGTGTTGCAGTTGCAGTTGCTGTTGCAGTTGCAGTTGCTGTTGCAGTTGCAGTTGTTGCTGCTACAAATGCAATTTTCAAACGAGACCCGTTGCTGGCAATTGAAGATTTTTCTTTTCTTTTTTTGTGCTTGTCTGATTGGAAAAGCGTCGCTGCACGCCGGCACGTGCCACCACTTGCAGCCGTTGTTGCTGCTGCTGCTGTTGTTGTTGATAGCCTGTGCAGCCAAGTTGTCTGCAACAGTCGTGCGAGGCCTCGAGGATGGGCCGAGGAGCGATGCACACCACATGTTGGCACGTGCCTCTACCTCTCCTGCTGTTGCTGCTGCTGTTGTGGTGCTATTGCTGCTGCCGTTTTCAATTAAAAATTGCGACTGACAACTGTGCCGACTCACCTGTGAAATGCTGTGCCGTCTTATATATATGTGTGTGTGTGTGTGTGAGTATGTGTGTGTCAAAGTCCAATTTAGTTTCCTTATGCGGGGCACATGGAAAAAATCGATGCATGCTGCTGCTGCAGCGTCAACAGCTTGAGGCAGTAACAGCAAAAATCTGTTGCCGGCACTTCAGCTGCAGCTCAAACAACTGCGCCATACCAAGTAACAAAATGCGAGCTAAGTGGACAGAGAGAAAGAGAAAGGAGGAGGAGAATCGGAAAGAAAGAGAGAGGCAGCTATACTTAACTGACAGCTGTTGCCACTTGGCGGGCGCTGTTTTTCAGTTGCTACCGCTGTTGCTCCTTTGTATATTGCCCATTGGCTCGTCGCTTCGTTGCCTGGCATCAGGCGTATCATCTGGCGCAAGAAATATTGCAGCAGCTGCGACGTTGTCGTCGTCGACGTTGTTGGCCGACGCCCCTTTAGTATGTGTGTGTAAGTGTGACAAGGTCAGCGCTGTATCTGGAAATTGAAGCAGTTGCTGCTGCAAATTCAATTCAAATGTTTTTGGCCCAAAGCAACCAGCGGCAGCAGCAAGCCCAAGCAGACAATTTGGGAGCTTGCCAGCGAAAGGCAAAGGCAAACGAAAGGGCAAAGGCTATGGGAAAAGCAGAACGGGGCCGGGGTAAAGCAAAGGGCTTAATGCCAGGGATGCTGTATCTGCGTTGGACATGCCCTTAGTCCCGGCCTTTTTTCTGCAGTTCTCATTTTCCCTCTTTTTTTCTGCACATACAATTTAGAGAATGTTTAAACATAAGAGGCGATTGTTGAGGCTAAAGGATTGCCAGTTAGTGGAGGGGTGTGGCTACTTGGTCGGCGGGAGGATGCGGCCCAACGAAGTTGTTGGAAATGGCAGGAACACCATGAAGAAGATGAATGGATGAAATGTGCACTTAGTATGACAGTCTTTGCATCTGTTGAAGCAACGACAGAAATGAACAACATGACGAACTCCAAAGCTGAAACATCTACTGCAGCTCCCTGCCCCCTCTGCTTAAGCTAAGGCCAGCAAGTGTATGCAGCTGTAAGAGAATTATATCAGCAGGGATATTGAATTCCAGTCTATT